GATGATGAACATTAATGGGAAATAATGCTGAAAATTTTAAGATCGTGCAGATCACCCCTAAATACAATTTTAATTTTAGTTGAGTATGTACCAAGAAGGGAAAGGGTGCCCAGAGAGATAGCTCAATGGTTAAGAGCAATGACTGTTCTGCAGAGGACCTGGCTTCATTCTTAGCACCCACATAACAGCTTACAAACATCTGTAAGGACGGAGCCAAGATAATTCTACACCCCTTTCTGACCACAGGCATTGCACAAAACAGACACATTTACACACACGTGGGCAATACATTCATATACATAAAATAAATTTTTTTTTAAAGGGGAATGGCGGCATCACATAGTTCCTTTGATCAGAAATCTTTGGGGAACCTCAAACCTTTTTTCCATGTGGCTGAATTAATTCACGTTTCCTTCTCCACGTACGTGGCTGCCTTTAATTCACATCCTGATGGAGACTGGTTTCTAGTCCTCCTTCTGGTAAAGGATCATAAGGCGACGTCTCATTTTCCTTGAATTTCCACTTCACTTGTGATTAGAAATGCGAACATTTGTGCCATAGAGCTGCTTATGCACATCCTTTTGTTTCCTAAAATGCTATGCTCTTTCACGGGCTATAAATCAGCTTATCAGCATTCTTATATGCAGTTGTTTCTATGTGTAGATACTTTACAAAGCAGTCTAATATGATAAATAGAGATTTTGGAAGCCTGAAATTTATTCCAAATAACGAGGAAACCCCCAAGAAATTAGTATATCACAGATTCCCATAATAATTCTAAATTTAAAATTAGTATTCTGGTGAGATTGAATAGCTGCTAAAGGGGCTTGCTACCAAAGCTAAATATCTGAGTTCGATGCCAGCGTGCAGGTCGTCAAATATTGACTGCCCTGTTATCCAGGGTGGGATCATCCTGCATTGTTGAGGAGGAACAAGATGAGCTCAGCATCCTGCAGGTTACACATATTGCCTGACGGCCATTGACTGTCATCAGTACCCTGAGAGTTCGACATGCACACTGAGAACCGTCTCCTTTCAGAAGTCCAGCCCCATCCTGTTATGTAGCAGGAGGACATGCAAATAGGGCTCCCTCTGCTCATGAAAAGCAGCCCAGCCTTAAAAGGCAGCTCTGGCAGAGGAGCCCAGCCCTGCACTCCCAGGTGTTACCATTTAGTGATCAGTACTGAACAGATTCACTATGGAGTTGGGGCTGAGCTGGGTTTTTCTTGTTGCTCTCTTGAAAGGTAATTTGTGGGGAACAAGAGACACTTAGTGTGCGAGTGGATGAGACGGAGACCAAAAATGGAAATGTGTGGCAGTTTCCTGACCAGATTTCCCTCTGTTTGCAGGTGTCCAGTGTGAGGTGCAGCTGGTGGAGTCAGGGGGAGGCTTGGTGCAGCCTGGGGGATCCCTGAGACTCTCCTGTGCAGCCTCTGGATTCACCTTTAGCAGCTATACCATGCACTGGGTCCGCCAGGCTCCAGGGAAGGGGCTGGAGTGGGTCTCATACATAAGTGGTAGTGGTGGTACCATACGCTACGCCAACTCCGTGAAGGACAGATTCACCATCTCCAGAGACAATGCCAAGAACACCCTGTACCTAGACATGAGCAGTCTGAGATCTGAGGACACGGCCATGTATTTCTGTACTACAGACACAGTGAGGGAAAGCTCCTGTGAGCTCAGACACAAACCTCCCTGCAGGGATCTCGGGACCAGCAGGGGGCGCTGGAACAGGCAGAGCTCTGGATCATCATCACCAAGCAGGTGCAGAGGCATCCAGGGCTGGACTCCCCCTGCCTGGGCTGCATCTCCTCGTCACAGCACAGATTTCCCAGAGATTCTCTCTACAGACATGCACGCAGCAATTTTTAAGTGTCAAAATATCTGAAAGTTGTGTTTTCCATCCTGATGTGTTTGTGTATTTATCGCAGTGGACACTTTACATCTCTGTGGGCAGAGCCCTGGAGTGTACTCCACTAGACTAGGCCAAAGCCGGGTTTGTTTCCCGTGATTAGAGCAGTGTTTGAGATTCATTTGGTCAAACAGGACATTCAGGCAGTATCAGAGACCTATGAAACCTGATGGCCTTCACTTTTCCCATGGTCATCACACAAGCCTGCATATTAGACCCCGCACTGACACAGATACCACACTCTTATTGTGTGAGAGGATATGGACCTGGTCTTAGAACATGGTAGTGAGTCTTTGTATATGATGCAGCCAATGATGGTTTCTGAGCCTCAGACAGCAGTAGATGGCTCATAGCCTCCTAAACAGGTAAGCTGTCTTTGCTTTTAAAAAATTTTATATCTTAGGTTTTTGCTCATGTAATTACAGTGAATTTAGTGCATCTAAGGAATTTTCTTTTGACCTGTTGATCCCTGTTCTTCCCTCCAGGAACCTTCCTGGACCTCTTACTGACACTGCCTTCCAAGAAAACATGGTTTGTGATCCTTGTTGCAAAATATGAGTCAGCAGTTCTTGATCTGAACCTCACATGGCCTCAGGAGGGGTCTCCTGCAGGACTCAAGGAAAGGGTAGCAAGTCCATCTCAGCGTCACTGCCTGGATCATCTGTGCTATACTGAAACAGGATGTGTGTATTCATTCAGGGATTAGTGAATGTTAGGTCTATTCGTGACTCCCACTGGGAACTAGTGACAGTCTGTCCATTGTCAGGGATTTTCGTCATCTGTGACTATGGTGGAGTGGAGGCTGTGACACCCTGGGATCTCTAGGGTAGGACAGGAGTAGGGGGAGTTGTGCATGGATACTGCCATTAAGGAAAGAATCTAGAGGACTCACGATGGACCTGAGGCAGCTTCTAGAAAACAGTTCCGCCCAGGTCATCCAGGTAAGCGAGGACAATCTTCCTTACTGAGAGAGAGCTGAGACCTTAACAGCATGTACACAGCACTTTCACAGTCACTCTAGACTAGCATGTGGCTCTAGTTTATAATCAGTGTGTCATGGAGACTGGTGCAACTAGGCTGGTATCTAAGAATGACAATTCACATATTTATTTCATATCCCTGACAGATCACGGTTGTCATGTTCTAAAATATTTATTGATGCAGTCCTCTGGAATCCAAACCCCGGATATGTGTTAAATTGCTGGCCATTTCTATTGAAAATGTACATCCCTTGACCACAAAGAGTTTGGGGGAGCTGGGGGAAGCTGTGAGCACGGGAAGGAACACGGACTGAAGCAGAGGAGGAGTGGAACGATGCTGCACGTCAGAGTCTCCAAAGGACAGCCAGTCGTGTGGCTGAGTTGCGTCAAGGCTCGGGTGCTCATCACAGACCTGTGCCCTCGTCTTAACACAGGAAAGGAAGCAGCTTCTCACACCGTTAACTACTGGGAAGTCGAGTATACAGGAAACTGGGCCAGGCTATGACACCTCAAGATCCACCCCAGACACTCATTTCTTCCAGCAAGGCTTGACTTCTGAAGGATTCCACAACCTTCCCAAAATGCACCATCAGCTTAGTACCAAGTGTTCAAACACAGGCATCTATTGGAGACACTGCACATTCATGCAACACTTAAGTAATACTTTGTATCTTGAAATTAGAGTAGAATTTTCATTGGCTGAGTGAAATTTGTTTTTTGTATTTGTTCTCTTTTATAGGTCATTGGTTCTATTCCTGCCACCTATTAAAATGATGGCACCTGTATCAGACACATAGTTCTACAATTCCATTTGATATTTTTAATATACTCATTTATTATTGAAATTTTTGTGTATGAGTATACCGTCTGCATGTATCTACGTGCACTCATGTGGTGCAGTTCCTGTGAAAGTCAGAAGAGGGTGACAGATTCCTTGGAACTGTTGTTCCTGAAGGTTCTTAGCTGCCATGTGAGGCTGGGAATAGAATCAGGGTTTCTGCAAGTGCAGCCAGTGCTCTTAATTGCTGGGCCATGTCTCCAAATCTTCTGTTACAATTTTGAAATGCACAGTGTGCTGCCACTGTCCGTAGACTGCCTCCTGAACTAAAAGACATTAGAACCCTCTGCAAGTGCAGCCAGTACCCAGCACCCCCTTACTCTGCTCCATCACTTCGCACTCCCCCAGCTCTAGTTACAGCTAGTCCACTCTCCTGAGAGAGCGATACCTTTGCTTCCACAAATAATGGGATCATGTAGCCTTTCTTTTTCTCTGCTTAGTTTTTTTCATTTAAAGAATACCCTGCACTTGAAATCACTGAAGTCTTTTTAATCATTGTTTCTAATGAGGAATCTAATTATGAAGTAACATTGTTTAACTGATGATAGGTGACCTGTCAGCTTACATACCATCTCCACGCAGAAACAGATACAGTGCAACTAAGAAATTCAGAAGTAGAAAAATAAGTTCTATCTGCACAGTATGGAATTGTATGACAGTTGATCAAGACTGCAAAAATTCAATCCTCATGGATTACCACTTTACCTAAGTTGCATAAAATGAAAAAAAAAAAGATTGATTGTTGAAAAACAAGGGATTCTCAAAAATGTTATGGAATAACTAAGTGACAATTATCTGAAAACCATTATCTTAATTACATAAAAATAATACGTTCTTGAAAGCTCTCTATTTCTCACAGCTCCCAGCACCCAGCATGGAAGGACTCGCCAGGCCCCCACTCAGACCAAACTTCCCCAATCTGCCCATCTCCCTCCACTGACAGTTAAGGGTTCCCCAAGCACTGACCTCTCAGCACAGCCTTCAAAATGATGAACACTATATATGGGGAAAGTTGGAAAAACTGATTCTAAGAAATGGATCTAGGAAACAAAATGTGTAGGTAATCTAATATCTGATGAGCATAGCCTTCAAACAAACATTGTCAAATGACATAGCAAACGCAGCAATCGGCCAAGGAGCCATCCACCAAGAGAGTATCACAATTCTAATCACAAATGCAACAGACATACTTAAAAGCAACTTCATTTAAATTCTACTAGATATAAAACACAGATTAATAAAATGACACTGGGTGACTTTTTTAAACAAATAATTTGTTGAGTATTTCATACATGCATATAATGTGTTCTTATCAAATCCATGCCAACTCCCTCCCCTCCAACTCCTCCCATATCTCCCCATCACTTTTTTCTGATAACTTCATGTACTCTTTCTTCTTCTTTGATTGATTTATTATTTATGGGGCTTTTGGCTATTCTAACATTCCCCCCTCTGTAGTGGTAATGCTAAAATCTTTTAAGGATTAGATAAAAACTTGCAAATATTTTCGACATTTTTGGCCTTTGGAATGGAGTACTGTCTCCCAATTGGCTAGTTCCTCCAAGGGGTGGGGCCTCCCGTGGAGACTGGACCATTGGGAGCTGCTGGGAGCATCTTGGAACAGAAGCCTTGAGCCATAGGGAAGTGCATGAGTCCTTGGGAAGCACATGGCATGGGGAATGTGCAGCTGCATGCAGCAGCTCAAGGACAGAATGGCCTGACACTTTTGGACCTGGGGCGAGATTGCTGGCCCCTGAGGCTTGAGCAATAGTTAGTGGTGACTATGGGCTCTGAGCCACAGAGCCAGAGATGCAAGGCTAGGCACTGGGTACTCATTCCTTTGTAAGTTAATAAATGCACATAAAGATATGCTCTATGGTTTGCTCGATAGCACAAGAGACCAGGAGGGAACTCGGGTGACAAAACTGGTGTAGTCTGGCTGGATAAAGGAACCACAGCCTTGGGGATGTGGGTCTCAGAAAGCAGTGCTGCTCCTGCTGCCCCTGTGGTGGGTCAGCTGGGATCTGAGTCCCAAATCCAGGAGAGAAGCCAATCAAAGCCCATATGATTAATGGAGTTAGGGATAGTCATATGGGTTGTACAATGGATCTTAAAATCTGTAACTAAAAGAGGCCAGACACACAGAAACATGGGCCACAGCTATATTGTAAAT